CACACCTCCTGCTCCAGCGTGAATGGTCTCGGAAACACTTTACGAATAACACGAAATATCCAGAATAGCTAGAGAAGTGGATTTGTGGTTCCCAAGGGATTAAGGAAGTGGCTCAGCACTCACTGCTGATAGTTTGAAGATGTGAGGAGGTGAAGGAACGTTCTCAGACGAGCGGCTATGGGAATTTACTATCGACCACCAGAAAGCACACTTCGTTTTACAATTTTTTATGTAATTTTCAGATTGGGTAGCCCAGACTGTCCTCCGACTCACACGCCTCCTGGCTTTAGCCTCAGCTTCCTGAATACTGGAATTGCAGGCTTGTGCCACCATGCCTAGCTAAGGGTACACCTTAAATGGTGAATTTTATGATATATAAACCATATCTCAATAAAGCAAATGTTTTAAATGTTTTAGAACAGAAATTCAAGGCCAGATACTGGTGCATGTCTTTCATTCAAGCACTCAGGAGGCAGAGGTAGGTAGATCTATATAGTGAGTTGCAGGCCAGCTGGGCTACATAATGAGACCCTGTTTCAAAACAAAACAGAAATATGAAGGGAAAAAAAAAGCAGAGGGGATTTTCAAGATAAAACAGAAAGCCACTGCAGGGAAAGAGATAATCTTAGAATCACGATGACTTTAATTCATGATCAGTATGTAGTCTTCCGCACAGGTAACACTATCAGTACCTGAAGACCTGTGAGTTGGAATTGCATGTTACTTGAAGGATCTAAATTTTGGTGCACGACAGTTGTACATGGTTTCATGTTTATGTAGCGAAATGCATTGAAATGTAATAGTATTGAAACAAAAATGTAAAGATAGTTGTGAAAATTGTCTATATTTTCCTTGTATGTCTTATTTCTTTAGAGCATAAAATTTCTTTTTAAATTGTTCTAACTGAATAAGGCTAAATGAATACTGTAATTGAAAATATATTTTAAACTTTTGTCATGAGGTTTTTTTAAGGGGGGGAGTGTTTTTTTGAGACAGCATCTCCGTATAGCCCCAGCTGGCCTGGAACTCACCATGTAGACCAGGGTAGACTTGAACTCACAGAGACCCACCTGCCTCTGCCTCCCGAGTGCTAGGACTACAGGTGTGCACCACCACACCCAGCTTGTCATGAGTTTTTTAAAAAAAGAAGGTATTGCACATTGTATTATTCCTGATTACACAGAACTTTGTGGGTGGTTTTAAATAAATTTTATACTTCTATTTTGAAAAAAAAAAAAAAAAACCAGAAAGCTACTGGAGGGTGCTATGCCCTCTCTGGCTGGCAACAAGCATTTCTGTGAAGGAATATTTTGTTTTTTAAAGAGGCTGAATTTTTTTTTTAAGTCTTTTTGAGACAAGGTCTCTCTGTAGCCTCAGCTGGCCTGGAACTCATTATGTAGACCAGGCTGGCCTCGAACTCACAGAGATCAGCCTGCCTCTGCCTCCCAAGTGCTGGGATTAAAGGTGTGTGTCACCACGCCCAGCTCAAAGAGGCTGAATATTTTATCTGTTTTTTACTGTGCTGCAGAGCTGTTGTTGCACTGTATAAAGCAGTGTATTGTAAAATTGAGATCCCATTGCCCGTCATCTGACACTGCACACACACTTTCTGTGCCCCAGTCATTTCCAGTGAAAAGATCTGTAAGTCTTTTGACCTAAAGTCAGGGATGGATATAAGCAAATTATAGAATCACAGAGGGCTTATGGTTACAATGGTCCCCTGAAATATGGAATTAAAAATATTTATTTATTAATTATTTGAGATAGGGTCTTACTATGTAGCCCTGGTTAGCCTGGCACATGCTATGTACACCAGGCTGGTCTTTAACTCACAGAGACCCCACATGTCTCTGCCTCCTGAGTGCTGGGATTAAAGGTGTTCACCATCATGCCCTACCTTTTTGCTGTTTTTAAAAATATTTTATTTTTGGACTGGAGAGAGGGCTTAGCAATTAAGAGTACTGACTCCTCTCACAGAAGATCCAGGTTCAAATCCCAGCACCCACACAGTAGCTAACAAATTTCTGTAACTCCAGTTCCAGGGGATCCCACACCCTCTTCTGTCCTCTGTGGGCATTGTACAACATGGGTGCACTTAAATACATGCAGACAACATACTCATACACATGAAAAATAAAAATAATAATTTTATTATTTTATTTACACGCAAGTATGTGTGTCTGTTTGTATAGGTGCCTGCAAAGGCCAGAAGAGGGTATTGGGGCCTGGAGCTGGAGTTATAGGAGGTTGTGTCATCTGATATGGATGTTGGGAACTGAACTTGGGTCCTCTGGAAGAGCAGTAATTTTTCTTAACCATTGAGCCATCCCTCCAGCCCCCCCTCCTTTTGCCATTTTGTTTGTGTTTGGTTTTGGTAGTAGGGATTAACCAACCCAGGGCCTCGACTGCTATCTGAATTGCTCTACCACTGCTCTACACTCCCAGCCCAGACTTGAGCTTATAACAACAGGCCTTACAACTATTTCAATAAATCAGGCATTCCAGAACACAGTGTGGGAGTCATTATGTACTGACTTCATAATATTCTGTGAGGATAAAGATATTTTTTCAGTATTGAAAAAGTTAATCTTTCTACACTATTCATCTTGAAGACCTTATTTTCCTTTATAAATGATATTAATTTCGTATATTTTTACTCTATAAAGAATGCCAATATGAAATTTCTGGGGTCAGCAGGATGATTCAGTAGGTAAAAGCACTTGCTGCTAAACCTGATGACCTGAGTTCAATCCCCTGGACTCACATGGTAGGAAAGCACAGGCTCCTGAGAGTTGTCCTCTGACTTCTACCCAGCACATGTGCATGAACACACACCAGTAAATAAATGTAATAATAAAAAAGAAGAAATTTCTGGACTTTTCTACAGATAGAGAATACAGCCACATTTTCTGTGGCCCATCCAGATGCCTAGGATCCAGGGCTTCATAATTGCTTCCTTCATAGACTTTATGGGTTAATCAAATTCATTACCATTCCCATAACACGATCAATCTCTTCACGTACTATTGCAACTATTGCAGATCAAAAATCATTCCTGTGGATATCAGGATTGTCGCAGTTCTCAAGGAGTTTCAAGTTTTCATTATTCAGAGATTTGCTGTGCAGCTGTAGGTCAGCGCAGGAGTGGAAGTGGAACACTCATGCCCTGCAGTGAGGGACGCGCCTGTCCTGGCCTGTCCTCAGTACCACCTCTGCCTGCTGTGGGGCTGGGCTTGCTTGGTATTTAGCTTGACCTTTTTTTTTTTTTCCTATTTCATCACAAAAGTGAATTTTAAAAAGGTTGACAACAGGCTAGAGAAATGGTTCAGTGGTTCAGATCACTGGCTGTTCTTGTAGAGGATCTGGGTTTGATTCCCGGCATCCACATAGCTAACTGTCTGTAACTCCAGCTCCAAGGAGATCCCATGTCCTCTTCTGACCTCCTTAGGCATTGCATGACGCAGGTGCACTTACATACATGCAGACAATACACTTATACACATAAAATAATAAATAAAATATTTTAAAATGTCGATGAGTTTCCAATCACTTAATTTTACATTTATTTATTATTTATTTATATTTTTGCGTATGCATGCACCCACAAGTGTGGAGGTTAGAGAACAACTTGCAAGAGTTAGTTCTCTCTTTCCACCATGTAAGTCCTGGGATTGAATTCAGGTCATCAAAGCTTGCTGGCAGGTAACCTCTACCCACTGAGTCAAATCATTAAACCAAAAGTGAATCTTATAAATACCCATAGCTTTGAAAGAAAATTAAGTTACTAACTCTATCTCAAAAGATCCTAGGCAGGTCTGGAGGGATGGCTCAATGGTTAAAGAGCACTTACTGCTCTTACAGAGGACCTGGGTTCCCAGCATCCACAACTCACAACTGTCTGTAACTCCAGTTCAAGGGGATCTGGCACCCTCTTCTGGTCTCTTTACATACATGCAGTCTGTTCTAGTTACTTTCTATTGCTGTGATAGAAATACTGACCAAAACCAATTTAGGGAGGAAAGGGTTTATTTGGCTTACTGTTCACAGTCCATCACCAAGGGAAGCCAAGGCAGGAACTCAGGGCAGGAACCTGCAGCACAGACCGTGGGAAACTCTGCTTACTGGCTTGCTCCCCTGGCCTGTGCTCAGCTTGCCTTCTTATACAACCCAGGGGTGGCACCACCTACAGTGAACTGGGCCCTTCCACATCACTCAGTAATCAAGAAAATGTTCCACATGCAGGCCACAGGCCAATGGAGGAAATTCCTCAACTGAGGTTCCCTCTACCCAGATGTGTCAGGTTGACAACTGAAGTTATCACTAATACACTAATACACATTTTAAAAAAAAAAAGAGGCCATGGGGGCTGGAGAGATGGCTCAGCAGTTAGGAGCATTGACTTCTCTTACAGAAGACCCGGGTTTGATTCCCAGCACCCACATGGCGACTAACAACTTCCCCTAACTCCAGTTCCAGGGGAATCGACACCTTCTGACCTCCTCAGGTATTGCACAATATGGGCGCACTTACATACATTGCAGGCACTCATACATATAAAATAAAAATAAATTAAAAAATATATATATATATAAAATAGAGGTCAGGCATGGTGGCACACACTTTTAATCCCAGCAGAGGTAGATGAATCTCTGTGAGATTGAGATGCACTTACATATATATAGGCAATACACTCATACACATAAAATAAAAAAAATATAAAACAAAATATTAAAAAAGTAAAGTATGGATGTGTATTTGACTGAAGTCAATTCTGATACCAAATGATATGAATTTAATTATATAGGTTATTGGAGAATAGTGGAAGAATATTTAAGGTTTGACTGGTGGGTTTACATAAGTGAAGACTAGATGATCTTATGGTACACTTTAAGCATTGTAATTTGTTTTTCTTCAAAAAAAATTACAATTTAGTTTTCAATTTCTTAGAACTACTTAAGTGAAGTTTTAAAAGTCTTATGAAAATGCCCCCAATGTTACAGTATTATAGCCATTCTCAGGGACCTTAATGACTATAGGTTCCTTAAGGCTTGTAACATGGCCTTACTATTGCCAGCTTTTTCTAGATCTTTGCAGATACACATTCAGATAAGCAAATCAGTTGGCTGGCTTTAAGCATTGTAATTTTTTTTTTGGTCTTTTTGAGACAGGGTCTCCCTGTAGCCCCAGCTGATCTGGAACTCGCTTTGTAGGCTGGGCTGGCCTCGAACCCACAGAGATCCACCTGCCTCTGCCTGCCCCTCCGAGTGCTGGGATCAAATAAGCATTGTAATTTTTTTCAAATTTATTATTTTTACTTTATGTGCATGCGTATATTGCCTGCATGTAGGTAAATACACCCGTGTCATGCAATGCCCAAGGAGGTCAGAAGAGGCTGTCGGATCCCCTGGGACTGGAGTTATGGACAGTTGTTAGCTGCCATGTGGGTGCTGGGATTCAAACCCAGGTCTTCTGCAAGAACAACCAGTGTTCTTAACTGCTGAGCCATCTCTCCAGCCCCGCATTGTAATTTTTATATGTATCTTTTTGTTTGTTTGTGATGATGGGGACCAAACTCAGGACCTCATACATACTAAGCAAGTGCTCCACCCCTCCATTCTCATATTACTTTAAATAGTAAAAAGTATGTAGTAGTATAGATGTATTTTCTATGATAGTATTAGTGTAATTGTGGCAAAGCATCCATCTTATAAATCTATGTTCATTTTTCAGTGATTTTGTTTAATAATACTGTACCTGATGTGTAAGTAAGATTGCAATTAAAACTATCAGCCAGTGTAGTAGGAGATAACCTTATGAAAGTGTCCAGGACAAAATAGAAAAATAAGAAGTGGTATCTAGTGGCATGTATACCCAGTAGACTCTTATTAACTTCCTTTTAACAAATATTTTATATCTCAATTTTATGTGTATGAGTGTATTGCCTGCGTATATGTAAGTGCACCAGTGTCATGCAGTGCCTTTGGAGGTCAGAAGAAGGCATATGATCCCCTGGAACTGGAGTTATGAATAGTTGTCAGTCACCAGGTGGGTGCTGGAAATCAAACCTGGGTCCTCTGCAAGAGCAGACAGTACTCTTAACCACTGAGCCATCTCTCCAGTTCTTTATAACTTTTTTTTTTTTTGAGACAGGGTCTCTCTGTAGCCCCAGCTGTCCTGGAACTCACTATGTAGACCAGGCTGGCCTTGAACTCACAGAGATCTGCCTGCTTCTGCCTCCCGAGTGCTGGGATTAAAGGTGTGTGTCACCACACCTGGCCCTTATTAACTTTCAAAAAGGAAAAAATCTTAAGGTAGATATGGTGGCACATGCTTGTAACCTAGCATTCAGGAGGCAGAGGTAGAAAGACAGAGTTCAAGGCCTGCCTGGTCTATATAGGGAGTTCCAAGTCAGCCTGGGTTATAGAGCAGGATCCTGCCTCACAATGAAAGAGGAAGAGGAGGAGGAAGAAATCTTGTATTTTCTTTTTCTTTTCATTTATTTATTTATTTATTTATTTATTATTGTCTTTTTGTCTTTTTGAGAAGAGTCTCCCTGTAGCCCCAGCTGGCCTGGAACTTACTATGTAGACCACCAGGCTGGCCTCAAACTCAGAGAGCTTTGCCTGCCTCTGCCTCCTGAGTGCTGGGACTAAACGAGTGTGATACCACACCCTGCTCAAAATCTTTTTTTTTTAATTAAAAAAATTTTTTTTGGTCTCTTTTGAGACAGGGTCTCCCAATAGCCCCAGCTGGCCTGGAACTCACTATGTAGATCAGGCTGGCCTTGAACTCACAGAGATCCTCCTGCCTCTGCCTCCTGAGTGCTGGGATTAAAGGCGTGCACTACCACGCCCAGCTAAAATCTTTTATTTTTAACAACCTCAATGAACCTGGAGGATATTATATTAGGTGGAACACAGAAATTATATTATAAGCCAAACACAGAAATTATATTAAGCCAAGTACAGAAATACAAAAACTGCATGATCTGTCTCATATGTAGAATCTAAAAGAGTTAAACTCAAAAGTAGAATGTTGGTTGCCAGATGCTTGGGGTGGAGAGGAGGAGAGCAAGAAGTTGGTCAAAGGAAACAATTTTAGTTTGATAGGAAGAAGCTTGAGATCTCTTGGACAACACAATGCCTATGGTTGATGTAATAAACATGATACCTACAGTTGATGTAATAGTTGGTCTTGATTGTCAATGTGACTGGCTCTAGAGTCATCTAGGAGACCCACTTCTGTATGCTTGTGAAGGCATTTCCAGGAGGACTGACTGAGAGGGGTAGGTCTGCCATCAATATAGGTGGCACTTTCCAGTGAACAGTCTCAGTATAAAGGTGTCCGATGAGAAAGCCGTGTCTCCTGCCTTCGCTTCTTCCCCAGTGTGCGTGTTTGTAATCCCAGTATTTGGGAGGTGGAAGCCAGAGGATCAATAGTTCTTATGTAGCCCAGGCTAGCCTTAAACTCTCCATATACCAGCCTCTGCTATATAGAGAGTTTAAGGCTAGCCTGGGGTACATAAGACCTGTCTCACAAAATAGAAAAAAAATTGTGTAGCCCTATAACTTTGCTAATTCTTGTTGTTGCCAATAGTTAACTGGTAAAGCCTGTGAAATTTTTTAGTTAGAGAAAAGATCTCTTCTAATACTGATAGTTTGACTTCTTCCTTTCCTCAGGCCTCTGTCCCCAGTCCCGTGCCCACCCCGTCCCCCTTATTGCACTGGCTCAGAACTCCAGTATAATGGTGAAGAGAAGTGGTGACAGCATGCGTTCTTGTGTTGTAGTTTTTTGTTTTGAGGGTTTTGTTTTGTTTTTGGCATTTTTGAGACAGGGTCTCCCTATAGCCCCAGCTGGCCTGGAACTTGCTATGTAGACCAGAGATCTGCCTGCCTCTGCCTGTGCTGGCATTAAAGGTGTGGGCCACCACACCTGGCTTGTATTGCAGTTTTGTATTGGTTTGTCACTGGGTTTTTTTTTCCTTTTCTTCTTTTTCCATTTTCATGTGTTTATGTGTGGTATGCACGTGTGCATATGCATGTTTTCAGGCACACATGTGTGGGTGTAGGTGCACATATGTGCACATGCTGTAGAGGCCCAAGGTTGATGTCAGAAATCATCCTCACTGCTCTTCCACCTTATTCACTGAGGTCTCAGTCAAACCCAGAGCTCGCTGCTGTGGTCAGTCTCGCTATCTAGCTCGCTCCATGGATCCCTGTCTCTGCTTCCTGAGGATGAAATTATAGGCAGGCCTACCACACACACCCAATATTTACATAGGTTCTAGGGATCTGAGCTCCAGTCCTTATGTTTTACTGTAACCACTGAGCTTTCTCATTGCTGTTTTCTACCAGTAGAAGCAAACACACTTCAGCTAGCTGGTAAGCATTTTTGAGAGTCAGAAGTTAGGTCAGAGTTTTTGTTTGTTTGTTTGTTTGTTTTTGGTCTTTTTGAGACAGGGTCTTCCTGTAGCCCCAGCTGTCCTGGAACTTACTATGTAGACCAGGCTGGCCTCAAACTCACAGAGATCCGCCTGCCTCTGCCTCCCAAGTACTGGGATTACAGGCGTGTGCCACCATGCCCAGGAGGTCAGAGTTTTTTATGTATCACATCCAACTTACACGTCCTAGTTCCAATGCCCATGTCAACAATTCAGAGCAGAGAAAATCTGGCACAGATATGTAGATAATATTCTACTCACATGAAGAAGCCCACGAACACTTATTGTCAGGGGATGTACAGCCTGTTCTGCCTTAAAAGAGGTAGGTTAGGGTGTTTTCTTTCTTTTCTTGAAATGGTCTCACTATGTAGTGCCAGCTGGTCTGGAACTCTTTATGTAGACCAGGTTGGTCTTGAACTCACAGAACTCTGCCCACCTCTGCCTCCGACTGCTGGGATTAAAGACATGCACCACCATACCCAATGCAGTTCAGGTTTTTTGTGGTTTAGTTTAGGTCTAGCTATATAGATGTGCAAGCAAAGCTATTTTTCCATTATACTATGACTCTGAAATAATGATAGAAAGTGTTGGACCCCCAGTCTGGAGTACCCAACGTTCACAGGAGGCCGCACCCCAATAACTCAGTCCCCAGACCAGGAGATGCAACAAGCAAGAGGATTTTATTGGCGTCTCTGCAGATGGGCTCCTGCCTCACTCGGAAAGGAGAAGAAGCCCTGAGCTCAGCTTACAGGCTGCTTATAAAGGCAAAAACCACAAACCACAAGCGGCTCCTAAGCCAAGAAAAGCAGAAGCGGGAGGGAGGATTTTTCGGGTGATTTCCAGCTTAGGCGAGGTGCACAAAAAGGTCAACTCTTTCTCAGCAGTTTAGAATTGTTTTTACTTCCTTGTACAACTTTTTCTTTGGCCTGGGGGATGGTTTGAATCCATCATTCTCCCCTTTTCTTATGGCAAGATTTTAATCCTAAAATCTCTAGGTCTTCTGTTCTTTTTAGAGCATGGTATTGTTGAGTAAGAACCAAGGCCTGAGTCACCGATAGTCGGTCCCTGATAAATTGTAGCAGTCTGTTGAGTATGCATGGTCCGAAGGTTAAAAGAAGGAGAAGAATGACTAGGGGGCCTATTAGGGTGGACACTAGAGTAGTTAACTAGGGGATTTTATTAAACCATCTTTTAAACCATCTCTGCTTGGATTTACATTCTCTTTGTCTTTTATCTAATCTCTGGCAGAGTTTAGTCATGGAATCTCTAACAACCCCCCAGCTGTCAGCATAGAAACAACACTCTTTACCCAGAGCTGCACAGAGTCCTCCCTCCTTGAGGAAAAGCAGATCCAGCCCCCTTTTATTCTGTAATACTACTTCTGAGAGGGAGGTTAGGGATTTTTTTAAATGAGTGATTGACTGTTCTATTGCCATGATGTCCTCATCTACAGCCATCTGTAACTCAGCATAATGTTGTGGTCTTTGTATTAGAGCTGCAGTTCTGGTTCCTACCCCTGCTGCCACCCCCACTCCCAGAAGTATAGCTAGGGTCAGAGACACAGGCTCTCTTTTATATCTGTTCGATTGTTGCTCTAAAAACTGTTCTACAGAATCTATGGGGTGGTAGAATACCCGGGGCAGGAGCTTAATCATGACACAATAATCTTGAGAGGTATTAAGGACAATAC